CTTTTTTTTTTTAGGATAACGATAAGATCGTTCAGGCCTTATGGAATAAAGTGATGCCATATCACCATTACCATCATAACCGTCACATAGTGATGCATTAGGAAAGGACAAAGTATTGAAATCATTGTTATCATTCTCCAAATATTCTTGACTAACCATTTGTTCTTATCAAGCTATCCTTTGAATGCACGATATCGATCGACTTCATGAATTTCCTAATAATATGCAAGGTGTACGCCTTCTACTTTTGAATATCATCTCACCCAACCTGCGAAATGCCATAGAATAACCCAAAAAAAAAATCCAATTACCATTTTCCAGGCGATGCCAAGGATCGCAGTCCTCACGCGTGACGTTTTACATATTTGTATGACTTTGATACTTGTCATTTTTTTAGGATTAAAAAAAAAGGTTTAAAAAATAAAAAAATTTTTTTTAGTTATAATTATAATAAGGTTACTTAATTTTATGGTTGCACATACTATTATTATATTTATATTAGAAATTTAACGATCATCAACTTTCCTTTTTTTAATAAAAAATTGATGTATTTAATATTAATAAAAAACGTGTTAAAATATATTTCTTCGAACCTTTTTACAAATAAATACTTTCTTTTGAACAATGCCTTTTTGTGAATATTCGAATCTCTCAAGGAAATCAAAAACTTCACGGGTGAAAAAAATTCCAGTCAAATGGTGATTGCGTAAAAATAAGTCATGTGAAACCTGCGGAAAATCAACGTTTTAAATATGTTTTTGCAAAATAATTTATACTGTATAAAGATCATTAGAAAATCGTTTTATTATATTCAAAAATTAAATTTAACTTGTGGGTAATTGCGTCCAATGATCAGCTCGTATAGTGTTAATTTTGGTAAATTTTGTTTTTTGATATAGATAGGCTAATTGGATTGCAGACGATTGATCAACAGCAGGACTTTCCTCCACATTAACAATTTTAACACAATCTTTTTTGATGGTTCTATAAGCAATTCCTCTATCAAAGGCTGTCTATTTATTTCGGGTGCTTTTATTTTTTGCAAATTAATATTTTTGTTCTGATAAAATGGAACTGTTAGAAATAGGATGCGAACTAGTGGATGATTCTGAATTCTGATTTTCGCAAGTCACCTCTGGTAACAAATCAGTTGGTACTGATGAAGTGTTATCCGAAGGAATATCAAAAGTACCAGGTAAGTCCAAGTCTCAAAGTTTTTTTTCTCTGTTTCTTTTCTAACCTCATTACTAACCTTTTTCTTGTATTTCTCGTCCAAGTAAGCATCCAACTTTCTATCCTCCAATGGGGCTTCCTTGGGAGAAATATCTTCAATAGAACACACATCTTGCAAATTAGTTATGTCTCGAGTTTGCTATTTGATTTCGGAGTCTGATATTATTACATCATTCTCAACAGAACTAGTTTCAAGGGGTTGCTCCGCAATCAGGCCATTTTAATTCTTCCGGCTAAAATATCCCACACGGAAGTCTCTATATCTGGCCAGGACTCTCTAAAAGCATTTAATGTAGTACATATAATATGATCCATTTCTGATGAATTTCGCATTACTCCGTGAAAAATAAAAATCATATGGACACTGAAAAAATTCACGCAATTTTTGCCATGAAAAAGAAATTTTATTAATACATGTGAAAAATAAATACAAAGATCGAGACGTAACTCGTGATATATGATGTTTCTATGCTAATAATGGTGAACTATTACCGTAGAGCACTGCCTAAAAGACCCCCCTTTGACCGTACCCCCATGATAATATACCTGGGTATTTTATTAGGTGCAAAAAATGGGTAAATTGATATATACCCGGATATTTTATTACTTATACAATTCTTAATTTAAAAAATATAGATAATTCTTATCCGTCAAATGATTATTCTGTATATAATAAACTAATTATAGCATCTATATCATCTTTCAAGCTTGATTGACTTTTGCCTTCGAACCTTCTTCTAATTCTCGTTCCATTATTTCCCTTTCACCTCCTTCCACTTCCACTTCTACTTCCTCTTCACCTTCATCTTCCCTTAATAATAAAAGTGACTGGGCCGCTTCCTGTTGCTGTTGCTGCTGTCAGTTCCGTCATTGTTGCTTCCTTAACCTAGCTAAAAATATTATTTAGATATTAAAAATTTACATTATAAGTTTCGAAATAATAAAAAGTAAAAATATTTATTCTCACAACTCACCCTGATTCACCCGTGACAATATATATAATGTTACTATGATTAAATGAAAATTCTTGCTATATGAAAATTAAAAATTAAAGAAATCAATTTGATTACTATTTCAAACTAACATCCTAAAAATTATACTTTATTATTAGAAAAAAATCTTTGTATAGTATATTATAATTGTATAGAATTATTAAAACCAATCATGAACAATATGTTGCTCTTCATTTTCTTGATAATAATTATTGTTTAACTCACTCTCTTCACCATCACTATTCTCATCATTGCTATTATCAATATCACTATCACTAATCTCGTTATCATGAATGACATCTCTTCTAAGATTATCTTTATTTAATTGATCAAAGTTAAAAATTAAAGTATCTTCCAACCCATTCATATCATTCGAAATTCTACAACACTTAAAAGAACGTCAAATCATATCAATATCCATGGCTTCCCAACTTTCCTTTATCCAAGTAGCTACAAGTGAATAAGAGGGTCTTTTAATTTTTCCTGATGGAGTATATTCTTTAATTGCTTCTGACATCCAATGGTTATAAAGATTTCGTACTTTTGCTTTGAAAGGTTTGTTCAAGAAAATATCAAGCAGTTGTAATTTGAAAGTTAATCTGCCAGGAATAACAACTAAGTCTATTTTTTTCACGAAATCATTTTTTTACGGTATCAGTTTTATGGCCAGAAAATAAATCTATTACTAAAAGAGATTTTGGATTGCTCCCTCTTCGTGTACGTTTCGTCCAAATATTCTCAATCCACTATATCATTTCCTCTTCGTTCATCCATCCTTCAGAATTTGCACGAATTACTACACCTTCAGGAAATTCTTCTCAGGAAATCTTTTTGAGTTTGAAAATAATTACTGGTAGTAGCTTAGTTCCATCAGCCAAACAAGCTAATACAATGGTAAAATTTGATCGTTTGTGACCTGTAGACAAAATTAATACAGTCTTGAAACCAGATTGTTCCACAGTTGTATTACTTGGAAGATTGAATGACATCAGCGTCTCATTCATATTCCCGATAAGAAATAATGGATATTCATTCTCTTTTCTCAAATATATGACATATGATAAAAATTCAGATTGTTGCTCTGCATAATCTTCGAGAAGTCACTAAGCAACTGTAGTTTTTCTTCTATTTGATAGATTATGCTGAGACATGAAACCATCAACCTATTTACGTGAAAATTTGGCATTTTTTACACCAGGATATTCTGATTAGTATAATGTTTTTTTGGCCAAAGAACATATTTTTACTTGAATCATAAATTGAGTTACTGTTTTTAATTGACCTCTAGCTTCAGTAAACTATTCTATGAGCTCATCTTCAAGGTGTGGGAACTTTAGACGCACATCTATATTTAATTTCTGAACGTAAGGGGCCACACTAATAAGCTTTTCCTTATTTTTAATCCAATCACAGAGCTGTTTGGGTTCTATTCCAAACTTATTCGCAGTTGACTTTTTACTATAGCCTTTTTCATGGTAAGTTATTATTATTAACTTCTCTCTTGCAGACTATTACCTCTTCAGTTTTTCTGTGACTCTAGCACGTCTAGCTTTAAAATTTCTACGCACTATTTTTCTAAGTTTATTATGGTAAGAAAAAATGAAACAAATATGAAGAAAAAAAGCCCAAAAAGATGTGGAAGAAAATGTAGCAAAGCAGCAAAACGTTAAAATAGCATGATAATTTTTAAACGCAGTTTACGCATTATAATACATCCATATTGCAACTTAAAAATTACCATATTGATTATTAATAAATGCGATTTTTATAACAAAAACGCAAATTTGCAATACGAAAAGGCAAATACACAACAAAATACTTAATAAATATGTAGTTAAATCATGTAAAATTAATAAAAAAGAATAATATATTATTTTGCAATTTTCAGAATATACAGAAAATAAGAAGTGAAAAGTAAAAGATCGTTGCGAAATGCTGAGTATGATGCTTTATATATATGTCAGTTTATGGTAATTTGTACTTTATATCTCCTTATAACATACCTCCGATATAATACCCCCTATTAAAATACCCTACTGTCTAATATACCCTACTTTTCACAAGATACCCACGAATACGAATCAATTTCTAAATTGAGAAAATTGATTTATATCCAGAGTATCTTATGCAGTGCTCTATGATACACATGATTATTCTTTTTCAAAATACTCGTGTTTTTCATTACTGGCTCCTTCTTAACATCCACTCTACCCTTCACAGTAATGGCAAATGACCAGGTCATTTGGCCATTTTGAAATGACTTCTGAATGACCTTCGAATGATCTGATCAATTGAAATCATTTGTCATTTGGTCATTTAAATGTAATACATGCTAAATTTTAAATGCTGGCCAGAATTTCAAATTTATATCATGTGAAATATTTATGAAAATGTTCAAAATATTAAATATTTCCATGCAATTTTAGAAATGAATCAATTGACGTACCTAATTTGACCATATAAAATTTATATAAAATTAACATTAATATCTAATACAATTTTTCATCAACAGTAGCATTCCATAATCCAATTTTTCCACCTTTCTTAAATTGAACTTCAAACGTACATAGATTACTATCCTTTTAACACAAATCTTAAATTCTCAAAATAGCGAACCTTCCCATTCTGAATTATATACTTATATTTTCGTTTATACAGTACGATTCAAATTTCATAAAAAAATACTAATCAATATCATTAGCATATTAGTTAAGTGAATTGTATCATACCAGTTTTCTATCTATCCTCATCATCTTGATCTTTTAATTCTTGATTATAATACACTTGATTATCTTGCTTTTGGTCAGATCAGATTTTTTATTATTACCAGTAGAAAGTAATTCAAGTAAAAGATTGAGCTGATTACAATGGTTAGTAAGTCTAAAAAGAAAAAACAAAATTAAAATTTACTGTTAAAAAAAAATCATATAAAAC